CTCGCCATCCAGGGGAAAGCCGCGTCCAACTGCTCGCCAGACATTGACAAGGGAGACCGTGAGTAGCAGTACAATTGTACAAGTATTGACTCGACTTATTCATTTATTCTTCAACGCTTTATTTTTGGGCAGGAATGGGAATGGCGAGTGTGGAAAGTGCGGAGGAAATGTTGCGGTTGCTGGAAGCCATCCAGGCTGGGGTTGGGGCCGTGGATCCCACTCGGCGACAAGTGGAAAAGGTACGCGAGTTGGGCCAGGACCTGGCCCAGTGCCTGCGTGGAGCGGACAATAAGCCGGCGGCAGACGTGGACGAGGAACTCAAGAACATGGACAAGTGCGTAGTCCCTTGTCTATTTTACAGCATCTATTTTTGGTGGGGTCGATGGGCTTTTTTTTGGCATTGTTTTTGCGCGTGTGATTATTTGCCAATCAATCGTATAGACTGATTGAGGACGCAGCTGCGAGAATTGCCGCCATGCTGGCCCAGTCCCGAGTCGCCGACACCGGCCTGCGGTTGGAAGTGAACGGCAAGATCTTGGACTCGTGCACCGACCTCATGGCAGCCATCCGAAATCTGGTGGTGAAGGCGCGGGTTCTTCAAGCAGAGATTGTTTCTCAGGGCAAGGTTAACGATTACATCTTTTGCTGTTATCCATTCATTCTGTCTTTTTTTTTTTTTTTAAAGAATCCATGTTTTTAAAAAAAGTGAAAATTCCGCAGGGCACTGTGTCGGCAGCCGAGTTCTACAAGAGGAATCACCGGTGGACCGAGGGCCTCTTGTCGGCTGCCAAGATGGTCGGCAACGGAGCCAAGTATCTTGTGTAGGTCCATCGAAATACAGTGCAGTACTGTAGTCGAGTTGTAATGCAGATGAATGACCGGTTGCTTTGGTTTCGTTTCCTGTACAGGGATGCTGCGGACAAGGTGGTGTCGGGCCAGGCCAAGCTGGAAGAGGTGATTGTGGCGTCGCAGGAGATTGCCGCCTCCACTGTCCAGCTGGTTGTTGCGTCGCGTGTCAAGGCGGCCCCGATGTCGGCCAACCTGGCTGAGTTGTCGGCGGCGTCCAAGCGGGTGTCACAGGCCACGGGCACTGTCGTGGCCACGGCGACGAGCTGCATCGAGCTCATTGAAGACAAAGGTTTTCTCATTTTATTTTTCTTGATTTTTGTTTCGTTTTCGTCTTGCTGACCAAATTTGATTTGATGGACGCATAGATGTGTTGGACGTGAGTCGCTTGAGTCTGCACCAGACGAAGCGACAGGAAATGGACAGTCAAGTGCGGGTCCTGAGTCTGGAGAAGGAGTTGGGGAAGGAGCGAGAGAGGCTGGCTGCCCTGCGGAGACACCACTACTCGACGGCCGGCGAGCTGGAGGGCTGGGACGAAGACGTGAGTTCCGCGGCGGATGCTAATCACGCGGCTTTGAGCAACGAATAGACCGAGCGTCCTTGTGGGTCTTCTTTTGTCTAGTTGTTGTCTCGCGTCGTGGCTTTGTGCTGTACTGTATATGTATATGTATATGTATATGTATAGGACAGTACACGTACGTACGTGTAGCTGGTACAGAGTACTGTTTAGTCGTGATGGCGAAGAAGATACTCTAAAGGTCTTGCCCATCTTCTCCTTCTTCTTCCTTTTTCTTCCCTTTTTTTTTTGTTTTGTTTTGCTTTCTTTGTTTGTTTCTTTTGTAGGCCTTTTCCCTCCATATCCTCTCTGTTGCTCTTTTGGGATTGTAGAGGAGAAAGTCAGTCAAGAGAGAGAGAGAGCTGGAAAAGAAGGGAAAAAGTTGAAAGGGAACCCGAGTTGTCGAACGTCTACTCGTAGCGCGCAATCAATCTCTGCTGTTGCATTTCTCACTTATTCTTTCTTTCTCTCTGTCAATCCCTGGGCTGCATTCCGCTCCTGCTTCTGTGAAATGACGCGCAGTAGGAATGCTCGAATGAGCTTCCCCGCATCTGCTTGATGCTGTGTTACGCATATTGTAATACTGTATTTTTTTTTGAGCGAGTGATTTGATGATGCAGAGACTGATGCTACTTTGCTGAAAGGGAAGCGTATGTTTCCAGTAGATCAGGTTTTGTTTTGTTTTTTGTTTTCAGAGAACACTAATGACGGTGATACACGGAATACAGTGTACAGTAATGTATGGGGGAAACGAAGAAAAAGCCCGAATTCGAACTTGAAATTGATTGTGAAAAGAGTTTTGTGTTCTACATATACAGTACATTACTGGATGTATTCTGTATTACAGTGCATGTAATGATTTATTTTCGAGTGAAGGCACTGCGATGTCCTGTATTTATACAGTACTGTACTGTACTGTGGTTGGCTGTTGCCCGAAGTTGGACCACTTCTTGCAGTCTTTTGTGGGATTAATGTTTTGTCTGCACTGTACAATACTTGAAGTTACAATTGGATGCATTATAGCTGTACAGTACAGTATAGTGGATGGATAGATAGACAGACAGACCGACCGACCTACCTTACAGAGGGGCATGTGATACACTTGTTTCAAGGATTCGTACGCTAGTGGTATTTTATTTAATTTTTATTAATTTATCGACTGCTTTGACGTGGGACGACGATGATACGGAAGTGTTGTATTTTTATTTTATTTTATCGGTGATCCCCGAGCTATGGTTTGTTTGTTATTGCTGCGGCCAGTCCAGTTGCGGAGTGAGCCTCAATAAGGCAGGGTGCAGTGCAGTACAGTACAGTCATGTATATACTGCACTGTTCTGTGTGTGTGTGTGTGTGTGTACGTTAGGAAACTGCTGATTGGGAACATTCTCTCCTCTGAAAAGGGGAATACTGTATTTATCATTTATTCATTCTTTTTTTTTTCGATTTCGAGACGAACAAGGGGGAGGGGGTGGGGAAGAGAAGAAACCCCTCAGTCGGTGCAGTATTTGGAGTGCAGGAAGCTGTTCCTCTGTCCTATTTTGCTTCTTGTTGTTGTTGGTGGTGGTGGTGGTGATGGTTCTGCTGTACAGTGCAGAGCAGTGCAGTATTGTTGGATCCCTTTGGGGGGGGGGGGGGGGGGGGGGGAGAGAAGACGGGTGCACGTGACATTTNGGGGGGGGGGGGGGGGGGGGGGGGGGGGGGGTCTCGCTGCAGTACGAAGTACAGTACAGTAGAGTAGAGTACACGGCTCGGATAATGCCTCTCTCATTCGGTTATGGGGTGGGGTGGTAATGAGGGGGAAATTACTTTATTCACTGTTTTTTCCTCATGTTGCACTTTTGCTTTTTCCTCTGTTGTATATTCCCGTCAGCAGAGTTATTAATCCGTTGGATGACCGATGTTGATGCACAGGAGAAGGCAAGCGAGTGAAGCGGTGCGGAAAGGGGGGGGGGGAAACCATATGGAAGCTTTAACCAGTTGTGAACAGGAGGCTGTTCATACTATGGTGTGTATGTGGATGGTATGCTGTACTGTTTGTTTGTTGTCGTATTTCCGCGTCTACAGGCCGCACCCTCGTTAATGTATATATTCCTTTGCCAGCCAAAACCAAAACAAGAAACAGAAGCAAACCATTAATTTGAAATTAATTTGGAGAGTGATGTGCAGTACACTGTATATCGCATGGACGGCATGAATCTGGGCAGAACAATGCTTGATTATACATTTTTATTTTTTGCGCTGTAATGCTTGAAGCTCAAGTGAATTTCTTCTCTGTTTCTTGTTTGAAAATCTAAAAGTTGAGCACAAATCTGAGACCTCTTATCAATTAATATACTGATTTTGATCGTCGTGCAAGAATAAGATTTCGGCGTGTTTTTGAACGCAAATTATTATTATTAATATTTTTTTTTTATTGAAGGGAAGTGCGGCCTTTAGTCAAGTGAATACGGGTCGGGTGTATGTATACTGTACTTGTGTCAAACCATTGAGAGGTTTTTTTTTTCTTTTCCCTTATTGGCGAGAGAATATGGTTCTTGACCATTTACCGTATTATGGGGGATTTCTTTGTTGTTGGATTATTAATCGGATGTTTTGGTTTGTTTTCATTTCTTTGTTCGTGTCAGTGTTATTTATTGGAAAGAATTCAATTCATGGTTTTCCGATCCATGAGAGACGCGTATTGTATTCGTATTGGGAGCGTCGGGGTTTTTTTTTTTTTTATGATTGGTTGACATGATGTATTCATTTCCCGAAAGCATGCATTCTTTCGCAAATGGGGCGTGTTTCACGTTTCAGTTGTATTTGTGATCCGTAGTCGTGAGCATATGGGTGTCCGAAAGACTTTTGGAATCGATGGAAAATACATATTTTTTCATTGGCCCCGAGTTTTTCTGTATTTTCTGGCTTCAACTTGTCACCCGTTGTTCGAGAACCACGTTGGATGATGACTGAAAAGAAAGGGTTGCCAGGACGTCTAACGGACCCCTAATTGGAGTACAGTACCGTGCAATGCTTATGCCTGCTCATGGAATCAGTCCCGGAAATGTGACTTTTATTACAGTATATGGGTTCCAGCACAATCTGAAATTGAGAGCTCCTTCGAGTGACGCTTTAGTTACCTCATTTTCTCTTCTGGCATGTGCCTTACGCGGGTACAGTGCAACACTGTAGTAGGAACACAACGAATAGTTCGTCGAGTAAGGTGTTCAGTACTGTACCCCGACGTTCCTATGTGGAATAACTGAAGAACAGTACAGTACTGTACATTGACCATGTGCATCCAGTTGTCGTTCCGAGCGAAACTCGTCGAAGCCTTTGTTAGGAAGTGAAAGTGGAATGAGAAGCGTTCGGTCCGTATTGTATCACGATTTCTAACTTTCATTCTCGTGAAATATTTCGATCTGCGTCGATGAGTGATTTTCTGAAAGGGATTCGATCGAGCGAATTGTCTTTTTTTATCATTACATGTATCACTAGTAGAAGTGTGCCAATTTCTGAGTCCAATCGAGGGATTCGGGCACAACTAAAGCTCAAAATATTGTGGAGGAGAGTTCACGTTTTGTTTAGGACAAGCGCGATAATTCCCTGCCCCAGTTTTGTACATAATTTCATGGATGTATGTGTTGCAGGACAAGAACTGCGAAATTTATCCCCGCGTGAAGACAAGGGGATAAATTTTACGTTCCTCATCTCCCCTTCTCCTTCTTGTGTTCTGCTTTTATTTTGTTGCCCGCGGAGTCCAACTTTTCAAGTTATCGGCATGCGACTCTCCGTTTGTTTGGTTCTTTTCTTTCTTCGATCCCTGGCAAGAGGATCCATGAGTCACGAAGTAAAGCTGCAGCTGAGGTATGTTTCATCGATCATTCCTCTCTTCTTCAGTATACGGATGATGAGGATGCCTTTTTTCTCACTTCAGGGACGAAGCGAAGGAAATGTTCTACCACGCGTACGACTCGTACATGGTAAGAACGGCATTTCCTTTTCAATTGAAGAGGCCTGTGTACAAACCTTAATTTTGTGGTTATTTTTTTCTCTCAAGAAATATGCATTTCCCGCTGACGAGTTGATGCCATTGAGTTGCAAAGGACGATACCGAGGGTCTGAACCGACTCGCGGCGACGTGGATGATGCCCTCGGAAAGTACGTACCCGTACTGGACTTGTTTTTGAAATTTAAAATGAGTTGAATGTTGTATGTATTATATGTATGATTTAGCTTCACTTTGACCCTCGTCGATACGCTCGACACTTTGCTTGTGTTGGGTGACGTGGATGAATTCGAGCGGTCTGTGGAACGCGTGGTGAAACGCGTCAACTTTGATCACGACATAGTCGTTTCCGTATTTGAGACAAATATCAGGATGGTCGGGTGAGTGTTTCATAATCATTTCTCTAGACTTACTTTATTCGATGCTGATGCAGCGTGTATGTTTTTCCGCAGTGGGCTGATGTCTGGACATGTGTTGGCCGAATGGGTGAAGGAGCGAGTCGGGAACGGACGACTGTCGTGGTATCGCGGCGAATTGTTGGCCATGGCGAAGGATCTCGGACTTCGGCTGTTGCCGGCGTTCAATACGACCACTGGTCTGCCGCACGGACGCGTGAGTAATACTGAATCCATATTTGTGGCTTCGGAAGTGAAGTGAAGTGAAGTGAAGGGAGTGAATTGTGGTGTCATCGTTGTCGTCTATAGGTGAACCTGCGGTTCGGCATCGAAGGTGAAGAGTTCGTGGCGTCGCGCGAGACGTGCACGGCGTGTGCAGGCACGATGATTCTCGAGCTGGCAGCCCTGTCTCGGCTGAGTGGCGAGCCCGTGTTTGAAGAGAAGGCCCGCAAGGCGCTCGACGCCCTCTGGGGCTACCGTCACAGGTCCTCTGACCTCGTCGGAACCGTGCTGAATGTGCACAACGGCGACTGGGTCCGTCGCGACTCGGGCGTCGGTGCTGGCATAGATTCCTACTACGAGTACCTGCTCAAGGCCTACATCCTTTTGGGCGACGACACGCTGCTCAACAGGCAAGGGACCCTCTCTCCGTTTTCATGTCTGTCTTGTGTTCTTTTACATGGTCATTTGTCTCGTCCAGATTCAACAAACACTATCAAGCTGTCATGAAGTACGTGAGTCAGGGTCCATTGTTGGTTGACGTCCACATGCACAGGCCGCACACGAATTCGAGGAATTTTATGGACGCGTTGCTCGCGTTTTGGCCCGGACTTCAGGTATACTTGATTTCAACTGGGTCTTTGCGAGTGCGTGTGTGATATGACGGGATGAAATGAGCGGTTTGCTGAACCACAGGTGCTGAAGGGGGACATAAAGCCGGCGATTGAGACGCACGAGATGCTGTATCAGGTGATGCAGCGACACAACTTCTTGCCCGAGGCATTCACGACGGATTTCCAGGTGCACTGGGGACAGCATCCCCTGCGACCCGAGTTCCTCGAGTCCACGTACCTGCTCTACAAGGCCACCAACGACCCGCATTACCTGGACGTGGGCGAGACGGTCTTGCGGTCGTTGCAGAAGTACGCCCGGGTCCCGTGCGGGTTTGCAGCCGTCAAGGACGTGAGGACGGGCCAGCACGAGGATAGGTTTGAACAATATCTCCTCTCTGATTTTTTTTTTTTTTTGTTCCTGACATTGTCAATGACTGTGTCTTTTCTCAGGATGGATTCCTTTGTGTTGGCCGAGACCTTCAAGTACCTGTTTTTGTTGTTTGCGGAGCCGACGGATTTGATCCTGGATCTGGACCAGTTTGTGTTCACTACGGAAGCGCACTTGCTGCCCTTGTCGTTGGCCAGACTGTCCAACGTGACAGCCGTACCGGTAAATGAATAATTTATTTTTATTAGTATTTTTTTCTATTTGGTGATGATTTGGCGTTGACCTTCCAATTGTCATTATTGTATGTAGATGCGAGAAGGAACGGAAGAAATTGTGGACGAGGACGTGGAGGCGGACCGGTCGTGTCCCAACATTCATTTCCTGCTGCCTGAGACGCCGCCGACGGCGCAGTTGATTACGGGCACTTGGTCTTCTGTGGGCTCTAGGTTTGCCGAATCAATCCGACGCGGCCTGAGGAACTTTGTGCAGGACGTGTGTCCGACGCGCATCCTCGGCGGCCTCAGTTCCAGTGGCAAGAGGATCCGGTTGTCTGCAGCCCAGTTTGAAGTGAGACTTCCTCCCTCCTTGCGTGTCACTTTTATTTCATCGACATTGCCTGATATACGTATATAAAGATGTACTGTATACCCTAATATTCTTTGACATGAATGAATGAAAACAGCCGACAAACGTGGAGCACCTGCGACTGCTGAAGGAAATGGGAATTTCCATCATGGCGCTGCCTGACGGCCGCGTCCAACTGCTTCACGCATCAGCGGATGCCGAGACGGCGGAGGCAGCTTTGGAAGGCGTGGAATTTATGCAAGATATGTTGGTGGGGGCGTCCGGTGGTGGTGGTGGTGGTATGGCCTCGGGATCAGGGACAGCTGGCGGTGGCAGCAGCAGTAGCAGTGGCAAGGAGAACACGCCGCAGGCTGTGTCGTGGGTGAGCCAGGCAGGCGGCGACGACAACGACCCGGGTGACGTCGTGGTGCACTCGGTGTCTGCTGGCCCAGCTCAGTTTGGCCGCGTGCTCGGCCGCAACGACATGGTGGGCGGGAAGTTGGCCCTGGCTGAGCCGGCGCACGGGTGCTCGGACCTGGCCAACGCCGCCGTGCTCGACTCGCGCGTGGCCGTCCTCCGTCGCGGCGGCTGCATGTTTGTGGAGAAGGCGAGACGGGCAGCCCGGGCCGGGGCCGTGGGTGCCATTGTGATTGACAACGTGGCTGGCACGAGTGCCCGCGAGTCGCCCATGTTTGCCATGTCGGGCGACGGCACGGACGACGTGCGCATCCCGGTAGTGTTTATCTTCGAAGCAGACGGACGGGACTTGTTGCATGCGTTGGAGCGAGACCCAGAGTTGGAAGTGGTGTTGGCTGGTGGGGGTGGGAGTAACAGTAGGTCGAGTATTGCTTCCCCCAACTCGCAGCAGCAGCATCATCTCAAGACGGTGCAGGCGACATCATCATCATCATCATCATCATCAGCACCAACAACAGCAACAACAGAGGGTGAGAAGGGTTTTTCTCTACTACGTACTAGTATACAGTATTTACTGTAGAGTACTGTACTGTACTTGCCAGAAGCAACGTGTCCATCATCATTATTTTTGTCCATTCTCCCCTGTCCCAGAAGGCGGTCGAGTGAGCAGGATAGACTTGGACCTGACGACGGTGGACAGCAGCAGGGGCGGCCAGGAGGATTCCGGCGCAGACGACCCCGTTGTCAAGATGAATCCCTCCCTGGAAAAGATGAAAATGTTTATTCACGAGTTCGAACAGATGAAGGAGAAGGAACAGGTATTTACAGTATTTTGATATGACTTGATTTGACATTTTTAAACGCTTGTTGGGTTATTTCATTCTTTTATCAATTTATTTCTTGTCTGCAGTGGCTGAAAACAAAGGCGAAAGCGCACGTCCGAAGTGATGTTGGCAAAGATGTGACGACGGTCAAGTTTCTCGACAGTGGGAGTCTGTATGTTCGAGAAACGGCTCAAGGGTTCGTGTCAGTTTGTTAATTGTACTGTAACTTGAGGGAAGACAGTATTATCACTTGTTGCGAGTGAATGTTGTTGTTGTTGTTGTTGTTGTTGTTGCATGCAGGTACGACTCTCTGTTTGCCAAGTTCATGGACGGCCTGCCTGCAAATCAGGCAGAGCAGCAGCAGCAGCAGCAGCAACAACGCGAGGAGGAATTGAGGATGAATTTGGGGCAGGAGGAAGACGTTGGCATTGGTGGTGGTGGTGGTGGTGGTGGTAGCAGTGGTGTGCAGACTGCTGACTCGATCGGAGACGGCAAGAAGGACGGCATGCAGTCGCCGCTGCAGGGCCTGGAAGAGAAGGTGACGTCGATCCTCGTGCGGGCCTTCCAGAACAGCGCCGCCATCCAGCAGGCCATTTCTGACGAGGATGAGGAGTCTGCCCGTTTGGCGCACGCCGTGGACACGCTGCGACGCCTGCGGGAAGACCTGAAGGCACCGGCCGAGGCAGAGGACGCCGAGGAGCTGCTGGACCGCTCGATAGAAACGCTGAGGACTCTCTCCTCCTATATTGCCAAGGTCAGCGAGACTCTGGCCATGAACAACAACAATCCCCCTCATCATCATCAGCAGCAGCAACAACAACAAGCAATACTATTGAAGGAAGAGAAGCCTCGTCCCAATGACGAGCTTTAATCGACATCATTTGCTGTCGCCTTGCTGCTCATCACAAATGATATTATCAACTGGCTACTGTAGTGCGGAAAACGGTTTTGTTTTGTTTATTCTTTGATTTTCCTGCAGAGTCAAATAATGTCAAGTCAAATAATTGGGATCTGTCTGTCTGCCTGTCTGTGTCAAGACCTCGATTGAGGCCATGGCAGTTCAAGTCACGTTCGCTGACGGATTAATCGCCGCGAGATTCCTCCATGTTGGCCCTGCACTCTTGTTTATCCGTCTGTCTTTTGTGCCGCTTACTTGGGCTTTTTCTTTTCTTCTTCATTTCCTCGTTGGGCCAGGTGAGATCTTTTGTGACAGCGTATTGTCTGTTATTTTGTCTCTGCGAAAAGGCAGAAACAAACAAACAAACAAACAAATAAATAAAGGAAGGAGAAAAATGGAATAGAATCGACTGAATGAAGGAAGGCAAGGAATTTTTGAGAAGGGAGAGGGAAAAAAAGAGGCACCTGTGATATGACGCGATGGATTTATGTTGGAGACATTGATATCACGATTTTTTTTAGTGAATTTGAAGGAGGAAAAAAAAATGCGTAGGTGTCGTTTGCACTTTTTGACAGGAACTTTATGCTTTTGCGCAATTTATTGTTTTGTTTTGGTCTCCTTTGTGTCTTGTTTGGTGCTGGACTGAGCGAGAGAAGGAGGGATGAAGGGGAGAGGGTTGATTTTTGTTTCCGTCTTGTTGGTCCTCTCCCACGGATTGCAAAGTATATATTTTTTTTTGGGTTTTTGTGGCTCGGCTCGGACAGGGGTTCTTCTCTTCTCTTGTGTGCGTGTGCAGGAGATGATTGAGAGACAGAGAGAGAGAATGGCAGTGGAGGGAAAGATAAAGAAAGGAAAGAAAAAGAGCAACACTTTACCTGGTGGCGATGATGCTTTGCCCCCTTTGTAAAGGCGAGCGAGGAAAGACAAGAAAACTAAGTCAATGCGGACGTTTGTCCGAGGTGGTGCGAGTGTGCAGGGTGTGTCTCGCCAACGAAGAGAAGGCTTGTGATGATGATGATGATGATGATGATGATGATCTTGTTGTCTTTGATGGCGTGACTTTGGTGTCACCGCTGCTGGAGGCTTTTCGAGTTGCGAGGCCACCCCGTATCTACGCGCGTGTGTGTGTTTGTTTCCTCGTTTGATTGCTTAAACGGGGCAGGATCATTGGCACAACAACTATGTTTGCCGTGGGTTTAGTCAACTGCGTGACCTTACGATTAATTATCACCAAATGTGCGTTCCGTGGTTTTCTTTCTTTCCTCTTGTTAATCTTGATGGTCATGTTCTTGCCTATTCTGCCAAGGATTTACGGAGCAACTAGCGTCTTTCTTGAGTTCAAAAAGGATCCGTGTGCGTACGTTTGTATGAAATTTGTGTGTGTGTGTGTGTGTGTGTCTGTGTGCGTGGACTTGCAGAAGAGGAGGAGGAGAAGAAGAAGAAGAAGAGAAGGGGGAAGCATTTTGGGAAACTGGGGAAGGAAGAGGAAAAAAAAAGCAAAAAGAAAAACAAATGAGCAAATGTGGAGTTGATGTTGATTTGTGCAGAATTGACATGGCATCGTATTTGCTTTGTTTTTTGTGGTGGTTGTTGTTGTTTTTCAGTGCTAAAGTGCTAGAATTGTGGCAGTGATCAACAGTGAGTGTGGCTGGCAGAAGTAGAAAGAGTGTTTTGGTTACCCATGCCTGTGAGGTACAGTGTTGATGAGGACCTTCAGCTCTTGTGTTTCCGGCTGAGTCGGTCTCAGCGGAGACACAATGCGTCAGTCCAGTTCTGGCGAGAGGCTGTTGACTGGGGCGTGTTGCCCAGCAGAAAAACGCCAACAGGATTCAGTCATCGACTGCGTTACATCATTGACAAGGGATTGCACCGGACAACGTTTCCAGCCATGACGGAGGTAGTGCACAACTTTGTGACAAGTCGACAGGGTGCCAATCTGAATGACGATTTCGGGTTGAGACAGGCCATTCTCAGGTTTTTGCTGGCACACACAGACTGTATGAGTGGCTGGACGTGTCCCAGACACTCAGACCCTGCGTGTCCCGCCTTTTTTCAAATAGGTACAGTAACAGTCTTCTCCTGTCACTTTTTTTTTGGCCAATCCTATTCTACAATGTTTTTTGCACATATGTGTGTTTTGAGTCTTTTTTTGAGTCATTTGATTATGACTACCATGAATTTGTTTGTTGGTAAGCCCTTAGAGTTCAATTGATCCAGAATTTTACTGACCTTCAATTTCTCCTGGTACGCCAATTTGTTCTGCCCCTGTAATTGTTCTGGGGTTGCTTGTCATTCTGGCAGCAGAATTTGTTGGGTTGGCCTTCCCCAAAAAACGCTGGAAACAAAGTTGTCCTTGTGGTTTTTGGTATGGTTGAGGTCAAAATGGCTGATGCCCTCCTCTAACACAAGGAGATTTTCCTCTCCAGTTTTGTGTTTTCTGGAATTGCGGCCAAAGTGCTTGGTTTTGCTCAATCTCTTTCACTAATTCACCATCCGAGAGATTCACCCAACTATTGCCAAACAATTGTGTGGGGATGCAATTATTTTGAAATGCTGCCTGCACATTTTTGTTTGTGTGATTCCTTGCATTTTTCTTGCATTCCTCTTGCAACATCATATATGTGTTTGCAAGTGCTTTGAGAGTATTTCTCATAGTGTCACAAAGGGTTTTGTTTAAACCCTCATTGATGCACACTTTTATCAATCCAAATCCATTGTTGATGCACATAAAGATGGATTGAATTTTTTGCAACATAATATCTGTTACTCTTGCTGGTTTTGTTAATGTATTCCAAGGAGGATGATTGACCCTTGGCACTTTTCCAACCACTGTGTTACTGACTGGTGGGAGGATCTTAGAAAATTTGGTAACAATCTCTTTCCAAGTACTTTGGGACATTGCGTTTTTATAAATTTTTTCAATCACTTTTTTAGCAGTGTCCCCAAGGATGCATATAGGTTCTCTGTCTTGCAGTGCTAGTGCTGGTAAAAACCTGGCTAGCACACCATTTCTGTTGTGTATTTCTGCAGCAGGCACTTCCTCCTTATGTTCTTCATGGGTGGTCTGCACTGTTTCCAAGGGCTTTGCTTATGGTTTGCCCTGGATAAGTTTGTCTATAGCATCTGTAACTAATAGATAAACTGTACTGTATATTAGTATGTACATTTTTTTGCTTGCCTTCAGGTATAGGCAATTTGGCAAGGGATGATTCATCCTCACTAATTTGGTGGTTTTCCAAGAATGATTCACTCATCATACTAGTTTTTTTTTTTAAGTTTCTGCAAGTACAAATGTAATGGAACACTGGTATCTAAGAATTGTCAAAAAAGGTAATCTGGCCTGTTGGTACACATTTGTACATCAGTCTAAGAGGCCTGAATATCCTCTGCAAGGGGTGTTCTGGCATGACCTCTTGCTCCTGCAAGGTTCAGATGGGTTCTGAGGATGGGGGATCCTGGTATCTACATATGGGTCAGTATTTCCAGAGTGAAGAGAAGTAGGTAGGGTGCAGTAACAGAGTTATATATACAACAACTCCTCGCAGGAATTCCCTGAAATTCAGGAAGTCAAGGCAGAAAACATTCTAAATCTTGATCTTTGATATTGTTGCTTGAGAAGGGTGGAAAATCTCTAGAAGTAGATTTTCTTGGCAGTAATCAAAGGGTTGTTTTTTATTACAGCCACTCAAGATGACACTTTTTCTTTCTTTCTTCTTGTTTGCTTGCAGTTGAGAAGGAAACGCAGAGATGCATAGTTCATGGGCGTCTATGTGGTGAGACAGGGCTTGATCACCGGTCATTGTCAGTGAGCGACACTGGCTCATTTTCATTATCTGCAACATTGGCAATGGCGGACCAACGACGTGGGAATTCCCAATTTGAAAGAGAGTTTAGAGGAGGAGAAAATTGGGATGAACAGTTTGCAGGTGCTTGAAACCCCCCCCCCCCTTTTTTTTTTTTTTTACACCCCCCCCCCCCCCCTTTTTTTTTTTTTTTTACTGCTACATTCACATTGTTGTGTCTCTGCCTGTTCCATTTATTGGAAAGGAACGGATCTCGGAAGTCATATTGTTCATGTTTTCTTCTTTTGTGGATGTATTTCAGAGGACCGGATGTGGAGTCACCAGTTGCCGACGCCACCACCTCCACCACCGCTGCTGCCGCCGCAACAACCTGTAGCATTGATTTCAGAGTGTGTGTGTAGGCGTCGGGAAGGAAGAGATCAGCTGCCACCGACACATGCTCCACTGACGGCTGTTTGTCGTCATTGCGAGGCATTTGTCATGATTGTGTGTCTCCTCGTCTCTGCCCAAGTCTTGCTCTGCATGCACCTCATCTTGTTCCAAATACACGTTGCTCAACTACTGGCCAACTATGCGCTGCTCTGTGCTAGACTCGGTGTCTCGCGAGTTGTTTCTCGTGCTGAACCATCATCAGCATTGTCCACCTGCTCCTCGCCGTCGCTGTCGGAAGAAACAGGTACAGTGAACGTCTTCAGTCTCTTACATTTCCAGTCCTTGACGACGGATTCCATTTCCTCCTCAACTGGGGTTTCTCCCTGTGTTTGGTGCGTACCGTTGATGTGCTGGATGTGCGTTTGTGCATTCACAGAGCGAGATTCGTTTTGGAGGGTGACGAGAAGGCGTCGCCGACTCTCTTCAGGATACGACGGACTGTCGCAGCTCTTTTCCGAAATGCATTTTTGAAAGTGACGGTTTTACTTTGGATTCGAAGAAGATGGAAGATAAAGATTGAGTGAACGACAAGCAGCACCGAGAACGACCGTTGTGATGATGTTGATGGGACACGGGCCATTTCGAAGAAGGCCCAAGGACCGCACGCCAATTTTTGACCACCACAAGATCAACGGCATTGAAAAAAAAAAAAAAAAAGGTTTGCTCAACTGCTCTGCAAAAATGCTTTTGATCCGAATCGTTTTCGTACTTAGGTGAAGTCGTTGAAGGAAAACTTGTTTCCGCGGACGTAAAGGAGGACATGTGGACAACTGAACGACACACTTGACCCTTTGCTTGAGTGACTCGGGACTGACTTGTATTCATTCCATCGATGGATTCTAGCGATTTCTGAGCGAATGTTTGGCCTACTCGAATTGGGTTGAGGTCTTATTAAGTGTACAATGCACACACAAAGTTTCGCAATTGCAATACATTTCTGGCTATATTAAAATGTGCGATGTCTCGGTTTCAAGCCCGTGCTGTTCATGCTGTTCTTTCCTGTTTATCCTTCCCAGAGGCCCTCTGAAGGACGATTTGAACCATTTGTAGATCAGTCCAGAACTTCTGGAATCCCTTAATGGCGCTGCCGCCCACTCGAAATTTGTGTAGATTGCTCTTTACCAGTCGATTCATTTTCTTTTTCAACCCTTTTCAGGTTGTATAGAATTTTGTATCCATTGTGTTGGTTTGTTGGAAATGGTGCCCGGAGGAGCGAGAGTTGTGTTCATGGAGGTGGGCGAGTGCATTCCCATTCCCGACGACGCCATTTTCCGGAGGGACACGGACGGCGGTCTCCTCACGGTCCTCACGTCCGACTCGCTGGATCTCAAAGCGCGTTACTGCTGCGGCAACACCAACAACAACAGCAACAAGGATGACGGCGGCGGAGGGGGAGGGGGAGGAGTGCGGCGTAAATGGGCCTTCACCGACAACCGCGTCGTCTCTGGGTATGAGAGTCCGGGTTGATTGATTTTGCCTCACCCTTCACCCCATGTCCCCGCAGCAAGCAAGTGTTGAAGGAACACAACTACGCGAAACCCGTCGTGTCGTGCCAGCAACTTGAGCAGCGGGCGACGAGGAATGGCGACGGGGAACACGACGTGGACGAGGATGAAAATGCGTCCTTGTTCCTGCTGCAAACAGCGTCTGCCTGCAGTCGTGGCCAAGTGCGGACGACGAGTGCTGCCGCCAAAGCGAACGAGAAAGTGAGAGTGAAAGCCTGTTTCAGGGGCTTGTGATGCCGTCCGTCACGAAACGGGCCGGTTGTTATGATTATTTATTTTATCGTCTCTTCCCCAAGTCCCCTTTGAAACGTGCAATCTCTAAGAGAGAGAGAGAGAGAGAGAGAGAGAAGAGAAAAGAGGAGAGACAAAAAATCCCTCGCGTTGTTGTAAGCTTTAAAAGAAAACACGCAAAAAGACGCACAGGAAGGGAAGGTGATTTCAATCGTGTGTTCAGCGTCATTATTCCTGTCGTTTGTTTGTTTGTTGTCGTTGGCGGTGGCGGTGGCTCCATCCGCTACCGATGGTGATGATGAAAGAAATGAGGGTTTTTGCCTGTCACTGAAATCAACTGCAATGTTGATTTTTACATGCGCTGTGTGTGATACTGTGATTTTTCTCTTCCTTTTTTCTTGTTTGTTTTTTGGTCTTGCAAACAGGCTTCCGTATTTTTCTCGGACAACCTGCGTCCTCTCGTTGTTATTCTTGATCTTGTGATTGTTTCGTGTGTCTCTTGCTGCGATGCATTGCGGAGTGAAACTCGGCAACGTGGGCGTGACACGTCTCATGAGGATTGCTTCTAGTCAGGTGAGACACGAGTAGTGGAGAGTCCTCTTCCTCCCTCCCCCGTTTTTTTTCTTTTTGTTTTTCGTTAACGGGTTGAAAAACGTGCTTTTTTCTCTTTCCTTTGTGAGCAGCGCAAGCGCGTGTTGTCGGGAGTGTCGTCTGGTCCGTTGGCGGAAGCAGAGGACGACAAGAGCCATGGGATCGAGTCTTCCTCTGCACGCAGTCGTCGTCGCGCTCTGCCCGAGGATGGCAAGACGCTGGGAGATTTCTTTGACGACGGCGCCGGCGTCGTGCGTGACGGTAAGGAAGAAGAAGACAAAAAGATGAAGAATAAAAGTGGCGAGCGGACGAGACTGCCGTCGTGGCTAAAGACGGAAATCCCCGTCGGCAAGAACTATGCCAGGATCAAAAACAGTCTGCGCTCGCTCAATTTGCATACGGTGTGCGAAGAGGCTCGGTGTCCCAATATCGGCGAGTGTTGGGGCGGCGGAGAACACGGCACGGCCACTGCCACTGTCATGGTGAGGAAAATCACCACCAATCAATTCCTGGCTTTTTTTTTTTTTTTTTTCATCGAGTCTTTTCTTTGTCCTTTTTTTTCCAGTTAATGGGCGGTGAATGCACTCGGGCTTGTCGGTTTTGTTCAGTGAAAACGTCACGTCGGCCGCCGCCGTTGGATCCGAACGAACCCGCAAATACAGCCAAGGCTTTGGCCGACTGGGGAGTGGACTACATTGTCCTCACCTCTGTTGATCGCGATGGTAAGAAGAAATAGGGGGGGGGGGGGGAAAGAACAACCGCATTCATTTAATTTTATTATAATATACAGTACTGTACAGTACTTGACATTTACAAGGAGAGGAGGAGGAAAAAAGGAGAAGAATAACAGATAGAGACCAGTGCAGTAAATATTGCGTATCGTACTTTTTGTTTCGTTCGTCGTCGTCGTCATCATCCTCGTGATCCTATGCTTCCCCTAAATTCTGAGGGCCTACATATAGATCCAACTACATTTCTTCTTCGTCTTTTGCCCTCGCACAGAATTGTACAGCACTGTACCTCGAGTAAAATTGTCGCATGAATTATGCGCGGACGTGGATGTGTATGTCTCGATCATGTGAGGATGATGAAGGAGACCGTACTGATGATGATATTCAATGCGTGATTGGTTCAGATTTGGCGGACGGAGGTGCGGCCCACTTTGCCGAGACGGTGCGTGAGATCAAGGCCCGCTGTCCCGGCATGTTGGTGGAGTGCCTGACCCCGGACTTTAGCGGAGACCTGGACTGCGTGCGGTTGCTGGTCGAGTCGGGCCTGGACGTGTTTGCGCACAATGTGGAGACGGTGGAGCGGCTGCAGCGGCGGGTCCGCGACCCCAGGGCCAACTACGCGCAGAGTCTGGCCGTCTTGCAACACGCCAAACGCTGCGTCGGCGGCCCGGACGGCGAACGAACGCCGCCACTCACCAAGACCTCGCTCATGCTCGGCCACGGCGAGACGGACGACGAGATTCTGCAGACGATGAAAGGTGCATTACAGTAATACAGTTCTCCTTTTTTTTCTCTCTCTCTCTCTCTCTCTCTCTCTCTCTCTCTCTCTCTCTCTCTCTCTCTCTCTCTCTCTCTCGGCGATGACGGTGAGCTTGAGTTTAGAGAGTTGGACAGAGTGCTCAATATCAGTTGAAAGATTAAATGGTTTTTAATGGCAAAGAAAGCAGATGCTGTTCTGTACTGCCTCATGCCCAACTCTGTTTTTTCGTTGCCCATAAAACAACAACGACAGGTGATTTTAAAATTGACTTTTAGCTTGATTTTCTCAACGTGTAGCTCCTCTAGCCATGAGCAACTGTTTCAGGAGATGGGCATCCCTCTGAATTTTCGGTTGCCTTCCATTCATTTTCATCCCCCGAATGGAGACCACCGACTGGTTTAGCCGAGTGTGGGTGTAAAATTGCCTCCTTTGCGCAGACCTCAGGGAGATTGGCGTGGACTGCCTGACTCTGGGCCAGTACATGCAGCCGACGAAGCGGATGCTGCGAGTAGCAGACTACGTGACGCCCGACAAGTTCGCCCACTGGCAGCGAGTCGGCGACGAACTGGGCTTTGTGTACACGGCCAGTGGACCGCTCGTGCGCTCGTCTTACAAAGCCGGAGAGTTCTTTATCAAGAATGTGCTGCAAAACCGGAGTCGAGGCGAGACGGACGGGGGTGGTGGTGGTAGCAGTAGCAGTGGAAGTGGCAGTGGCCCGTAGTCTTTTCTAATGGCTGGAAAGAAAGAGGGCAGCCAAGAGAGCGGAAATCTCTTTTTTCTCGGAAATGTTTCTATCAACGTGATGATGATCCATGGTACTCTGCCCATGAGATACAAGTGCAATACTTCACAAGTCCCGTTAGATGGTTGGCTGGTTGGCTAGTTGGTTATCAGATGACCGAATCCGAGTCGGTTCCCGGTGGTCCCCACTTTACTTTGCTCTTTTTTTCTTTCTTTCTTTCTCTCTCTCTCTCTCTCTGTCTGCCTAAACTTGTATTGGATTCGTCAATTATTGTCTGCAGATAGTCGTATAAAGTTTAATACAGTACTGTATAACCCTTTTCATCAATGCGTGAGGATATTTCGCTGATTTCATTCTTCTTCGTTGTGCACCACGTGAAGAGTTTTGGCTGATGCTGTCAAGCTCGAAAAGACGTGTATGCCGTACCGAAGAGGGATTCCCCTTTTGAGCCAAACGACATGGGTTCGGAAGGAATACGAGCGATTTTTTCCTGTTGTCCCGGCTACGGTACGGTTTGAAGGAATTGTTGAGTGATGAACACGGGTCAAGTTCTTGCGAAAGTGATGGCAAACTCCCCTGCATATACACAGTACATTATGTGTGTACCGTATGTATACTGTATATACAGTATATTCACGACTGGGATGAAAGCTGCTGCGAATAAAAAGGAAACATTTTATTTTTATTTCTTATTTTCTTGGTTTGATCATGGATTTGGTATTATCTTGAATACGTATTTGCGCCGGATAACCGTACTGTACTCTGCAAGTGTGAGCGTGCCTTCTGCGACCGATTTCTCGTTCTCCTTTGTTTCTCGGCTCTTCTTTATTGTCGCAGAATTTTGTTGAGAAAGAACGAAAGAAAGAAGAGAAATCGCAATGACCGATGTTGCGGGGGTTAGTGTAGACGGTGGTGACGTGCCAAGTGACGATGACCACCAGCCGAGTGTCGCCATGAACGAGATGGACGAGCTGATTGCACGCCACAAGGCGGAATCCAAGACGTTACAAAGTGAGTGCAATTGTGAGTGACGTTGGTGATGGGAAGCAAGCAAGCATTTTTCGTTTCCCCCGCAAAGATGAGATCTTGATTCGAAAGAAGGCCGTGAACAAGACGGACAAGAAGAAAAAGAAGGAGCTGCAAGCCTGGATCGCAACCGAGGAAGCTGGTCTGAGTGCGAAGCAGGAGCAGGAGCTGGCCCGGGCCATGGCGTCGGTGCAACTGAACGCTGGCCCATTGTCGTCACCACCACCATCATCATCGTTGTCGACATCGAGTCCCAATGGTGTCGATGGTGGACATCATCGCCGAGTGTCGAAAGCCGAGAAGCGCCGCGACAAGAAGGCGCAAGAGGCGCGGGATCGGGAGGCGAGACTGGCCGAGGCGGAGGCGGCGAGTGAGAACAGCGAGCGGAGTGTCGAGCAGCGTCAGGTGGCCGCTGCGCTGCACGAACTGGGGCTGGACCCGTTTCCCGTGCCGCCCGACGGCGACTGGTGAGCTTGCGACGAGCAACACGCTGTTGCCCATTACTTATTTAATCGCCGTTCATTTGGTGGGGGAAGGAATGAATGAATGTATGCGAGAGTCATTGCTAAAGAAAAACATTGATTTCATTTCTTAGCTTGTTCCAGGCCGTGTCACACCAGCTGTCTCTGGCATCGGGCGTGACGGAGAGTGTGTCGGCATTGCGGAAGCGGGCGACGGACGAGTTGCGTCGTGACGAGGCTCACTTTGGCCCCTTTGTCGCGTCCGAGGACTCTGGAGTGAGTTTTGACGAGTACTGTCGCGTCATGGAGACGACCCCAGCGTGGGGCGGTCACGTGGAGGTGAGGAAAAGGGAAGGTACCCGAGTGTCCTTTTCGAAACTACAGTGCAGTACTGTGCTTTCCTGCCCTAAAACGATATAGCTGGAGGCACTGAGCAAGTCGCTGCGCTGCGCCATCAAGGTTGTGATGGCGGACGGCGACCCGTTGGTGTTCGGATCGGGACAGGCTGTGCTCACGGTGGCCTACTACCGACACGCCTACGGGCTAGGGGAGCATTACGAGTCCACACTGCCAATGATGATGTGAATGCCATTCAGATCTCCTCTCCCACCACCACCTCCTCCTGGCCCCTTGCCCCCCTCGCTCCTACCCCCCATGGTCCATGCTCTCTTTTGGTACGGAGGGACTTTCAGAAATAAAAGAAGATAAACTAAATCAGCCCTCTCCGAGATCTATTGTTGTGAATTTGTGATGTTCGAGGACGACATATATGATCGAGGAGTGACATCTAGATTAGCACAGAGACTATTCCTGCGATGGTGCAATGTTCCCAGTTTATGTGCATTATGTGACTCAATTTTCCGATCACGATCATAACAAAGCACACATCCCCCGAGCAAATGCGGCACGAAGAAGAGTAATCGGAGTTTTGGTTACGTAAGGAAGTTATGGCTGGTGAATCATTCGAATGATGTGAGGATCTTTGTTGAGTGTGAATCGTTCGCCTGACTTTCAGTAATAAACTTTTAAGCCCCAGCCTTTGGCTGACAGAATCTGTGTGAGTGGAAGAAACTTTGAAATTTGCGCGCGTTTGCTCAGTGATGAGTTTGAGCGCCTTTCTGCCCCCGAAAGATTCGGTTGGACTTCCGTTTAGTATTATAAATTTTAGTTCTAGATTTTTTTTTTAATCGTGGGTATGCAGGTTCCGAATCAGAAGATCGAACGTGTGACGGAAGTACTGTACGATATAGTACTTCGTACTGCGCCTGTTCACGGCGAGTTACTGTCGGGCTTGCCTGGACCACTCTAACTATATTTTTGGGTTTTCATCGAGCGGCATGTTGACAGTTTCCCGCTGGTTTAACTGACGCGAACAATCATCAGTAATTCGTCTCCCTTCACTCCAACAAGGACTACATGCAGTGCCTAAAAATATTTTCATCTTGAATCTGTACCTACTTGAACCCTACTGCTGTTTTCTTGATTGCAGGAGTCTCTTTTTATGTTTCTTTTTTTGTGTCATGGTGAATGCCCTACGTGATTCGCTGCTGTGTGAAAACCTGGTAAGCGTTGCGCGTCGTCCCTTTTCGGTGACGGAAGATCTGGAGATTTTATGCTACCGACTGCATCGTTGTCGAGTACAGTACAAATGGGGAAACTCTTTTTGGCAAGAAGCGGAGAGGGATGGAGTGGCGAAGCACAGAACGTGGCAAAGCTTGAGAGAACGGTTCACAAAGAGAATACGCCCGAACATTGCGAAATATGAAAGGTATGGAATTTCGGAGAAACTTGTGGACTTCATTCAAAGTGAGACGGTGATCGACGAGGAAACTGGACGAGACATTGGTGAATTCCTGCTTCAACACGAGCGTTTGTGTCGGAAATGGCAGAGGGACAAACGACGACGAAAGAGGACGATTGACAAGACCAATTCTTCAGGTCAGTATTTTCATTTTATTCAAGTTCTTGACGTACGCTTTTCAGACGGGAAATGAAAACTTGTTGGTTCTGATATTCAACAGACGATCGTCTTCCCGAGCTTGCCGCTAAAGCAAGCTCAAAAGAGCGCCGACCCCCTTCAGTTGATCCTCGCAACTCGGTGTCGTTGCCAATTGTTGGTATTGGCAACGTCTTGTCCAAGACCGACCGTGAATTCAAGTTCCCAGTGAAGGCTCGCTGTCCCAAGTGCCACGTCGACCACGAAGCGATCATTCGTCCGTTTGACCTGCGCAGTGATTTCGGTGATTTCCCTTGCCCTTTCTTACGTGCGGAATCTTACGAGTTTGCACTGATGTACAGTGTACAGTATTGACTTCTGTGATCTTGCCTCGAAGGTACGGATTGTCAGCGGCGTCCATTACTTTTGATGTGTGCGTGTCACAACTCTCGTCAAAGTCCTGCTCAACTCGGAACAGGGGTTTCGCAGGTGAATTCCAAACCAGGCGGATGTGAGCAGTCTGTTCGGATTCCCGTCGCCGAGTCTCTTGCTACTGCCCCCGCTCCTGGCTTGACTGGTGAATTATTTTTGATACATGTATTCATTCGTTCATTTCTGCAGCATTCATGACTGGGGTTTTTTTTTTATCGTTGGCAGAGAATGAATCAAGAATGGGTGGTGGAAAAGAAAGTGCCGCGCAGAAGCAGGATTGCCCGGCTGCTGAGGAATGTCCGGTGAATGCGTCGAAGCCGATTTCAACTGCGTCAAGTGGTTGCCGCGTTCTCACCAGCAACAACGATGAAAACCGGGTTGCAAGCCCAACTCGCTTGGAAGAAACTAAAGTAGACGATTTTTTCATGGATGACCAGTCTGTACGACCCGTTGGTGCTGGTGGGTGATTTGTAAAAAGAAAAATGTACTGCGATTCTGTTATTCATCTTATTTTTTTTTGTTTTTGCTTCAGGTTCTTTTCTATTTCCTCCGTCGTTGTTTGACCGTGAATCCGACAACAGCCGCGACTCAATTCACGTTCCTAAAGGTGGGCCAAGAGGGATGAAGAAGTTTCATTCCGGTGGTCTTGTGCTGAATATTTGCAGACCGTTCCCGAAAGATACGACGTGTATTGTATGTGTATTTTCAGGTGATGCATTGGAATTCCTTTCCCCTGCCGAGAAAGATTTTATGCAGTCTGTCAGCTTCATCGGCTCTCCCAAGTTTTCTTCCACGTCTGCCACTATAGTATATGCCGAAGGGAAGTAGTACTGAACTTGTATACTGTATAAAGTACTTGCCGAAGGAACCGCCACGCGTTGGAGCAATGTTGAGTTGAGTTTTTTGAACGCTGTCGTCGTGAAATGGAGTGAGGAAGAGGGGGGAATGGATTTTTTAAATTTTAATGACACCTCTTTGAGCTTTCAGTGAGGATAGCATTTAGGAAGAGAAAATGAACCACAAGCGTGGTTACTTGGGTACTGTACTGTATTCAAGAGCAGCTTGCAAGGGCTAGGAATGCGAGGATCGACTTGAAAATGTGTGCAAAATCGCCGGAGATGTTC